TCTGCTTCGTTTGAAGGCATTGAAGGAATAGGTGGTTGAGAAGTAGATGTCTACGTGTAGAGAGGTGCAGAAGGTTGGTGGGGCTCGCAACTCGCTTGGATTCGCAACTCGCTTATAATCTATGTTATCGGATTTACACGGCTGAACCATCGCATCGATCATGTATCTCGTGGTCGGAGTTAATGCAGACGGCTGACACTTTGAAACTAAAAGTGAAGAATATTCACCATGACCCATCACCCCACAGCACCTGCGGCTCTCGTTGATACGTCATAGCTATGATTCTTTCATCTGTCCCAGTCATCTCCGACTACAGATATTGATTGGTAAACGTTGCTTGAGTTCAGCTATAAAGGTCAAAGTGTCGCATTAAAGTAGGCTCCTTCTTTCAGCGCGAAATAGAGTCCTTTCTCAATCTCACTTATTAACTTTCCAAAGTTGACTATCGCTACTGATTGAATAACTTGTGGTTTAGCGCCTTGGCGCCAGTCCCTCGTTCCTTCTGCGTTGAGATCGCCAGCTTTCAGCTTCCACATCGCTCTTTGACCTGTAGAGATCAGAATACCATCAAACTTGCTGCGTAACTGTCTACACCTTCAATGAGATTGTGTAAATTCGCATCGCAAGCGGCAGAGCTTGTGGATACGCGAGCCGATGTTCGTTGTCTTCGCGTCGCGTCACACAAGAACATCGGCTGCGTTTCGAATTTACAGTAAAGTGGCTGAATTCAGGGCATATGCCAGATATGCCTTGAGAATCGATGGAAGTGTATAGCGAGGCAAGGCTGACTTTGTTGCTATGGCCGTACGGTAATTGGCTGACATGATGGCTGAGACGCAATATCCGGTAAGCGTCCTCATGCTCACAGCCCCAGGTGCGCAAACTCAGCCTTCCCACTGCTTGGTTATCGTTGCGGCATGCCCGCTGGTGTCTCTGTTCTACTCACTCAACGTTTCGATCGTCACTTTAATCACGCACAGCTATCGCTCTAAAAGCACACGATGGCAGATCCTCTCAGCATCGCAGGATCTGTGGTAGGCATCAGTGCAGCCGGCGTACAAGCCTCTGTGAAGCTTTATGCACTCGCGGAAAAGGTTGCGACAGCCAGTCAAAGAGTTACAAGCATCGCAGACGATGTCAGCAGCACATGCGCTATTCTCAACCAAGTGCGTGAACTCATTATCCCTCAGCCTGACGCACAAGGCACTCTCAAATCGGTATTCAACTCTACCGGTCTGCACGACATCTCACATGGTCTTCAGCGCTGTCGATCGGCTTTCACGGAGATCGAAGCTCTCTTGCGTCGTGCATTTGAGCAAGTGGGGAAGCGGCCTGCCTTGCGTTCGAAGATAGAACTGTCCCGCTTTGAGAAGGCCAAATGGCCTTTTTTGCAGCCGCAATTTGACGAACTACGCAACGATCTACGAGATGCGAAAGGGAATCTTATTCTTATGATCGCTGTGGCTAGTCTTGCCCTTGCGCAAAGAGATGGGCGTCAGCGACCGATCCATGAAACGGAGAGACTGGAGCTCGGGTCAACTATTGTGCAGCTGCAACAAGCACGTATAAGCAAGCCAAGTGATCAGAAGGGTCTCGAAAGGTCTCAGGAAGAGAAAAGGGGATGGCAACAACGCTTTGATAAGCCAACAACAGTCGATTCAGTGGGAGACACAAGATCCGAACAAAGTTCAACCGCATGTCTTCATCGCGACTTTAAGCAATTCCTTCCGGAATCAGCTGCTCAATACAGGGCACAACAGCAGGCTGCGAAGAATGCTGCCGAAGACGCAGTCATGCTCAGCATGGTACAAGGTGGATCAGGGTATGACGCGGTCGGAACTGTGAAATCTACGAAAGCTACTCCACTCAGTGTGCAAGGAAATACTAAATCCATACCGCTGGTCAGTGAGAGCACCAGCGGCCCATATTCGGCTGATGCCGAGATTGATGTTGCAAACGTGTCTTTGCCATCCATCGGCAATGCCAAAATGCAAGAGCGATGGAAACCTGACATGGTCAATCGATCTATCGAAGAAGCAAATACCAACTTGGCTATTCTACAACATACTACAAGAGCCACAGCATACTTCGGACGACAGACAGGCAACTTTTCGGGTTCGCTCCAAGAATCCCATGCACCTGAGCACAAGATCTCTCCAACTCCAGCACCTGCAATGTCAGGTTCAGATTGGAGTGCAGTAGCCGAGGTCTATAAAGAACAGCCTGGAGCGACAGCCTCTACAGCTGCGCCGTCAGCCCAGCGCGCGAGCGAGAATACACTCTACTATTGCGGGTGGATTACAAGACATCTCCAAGGGCTCGCAACTGGTTTTGGAGACTCTGTCTCTATTACACAGATGAATTTACCGGATCAATCGCTCGAAAAACTGGTCAAAAGCTATGCCGACGCAGGTCTCGATCCTCACATAAGCTTACTGGACCTCACTGATCAACAGCAAGACATGATCAAGCAGGCGATGAAAACCAATCCTGGCGCAGAAGTAGTATATGTCAATGTTTCGCGCGATATCAAGGTGTCCAGCGTGTTTGGTATGCTGGATATAAGCGGACTCAAGTGGATTGCTGCATCTAGAAAACCTTGGTTGAAGCTTGGATCAATGGCACAGATCAGTCACATCTCTCCGCAGCCCGCTCCCCCTCCATCTACTAGACTCCCGCCATGGCTTCCGGGGAAGCCATTGCCGGCCCCTTTCGCAAAGACCACTGAGCCTGTTTCTGCAACACAGAGTGGGCAATCTTTTGGACATGGACCTCCACCTACCCAGCCTTATGACTACATGTCGTCTTCCGTCAACTCCAGACCTCATCCGCCAGCGCCACCTTCCGAAGAACAGCGTGCAGACAGACGCGCGAAAGAAAGGGCAGAAAAGCACCTAGCTGAGAAGGAAAAGGACCGAGCAGTAGCTAGAGAGGAGTCTCGCCGTCTCAAAGATGAAGAACGACGTCTTAGGGAAGAAGAACGCCTGATCGAATTCGAGAAGGCGCAGGTGCGTAGTGAGAGGCAGATTGCAGAAGCTCGAGAACGAGATGAAGAACTGGCGGCAACTCTCAAGAGCCAACAGGAGAAACTTAGCTACTATTTCCCGCGTAGCAGTGACCTCTCGCCTTCAATAGCTTGCCACGATAGCGTTACCTCGCTTCCAGCTGAGTGGGGTCAAACTCCCAGCAAGCGTCGCACAAGCATGTCGCAACCAAACCCTCCAGCATTTGATACAGGATATGAGCAATCCTCACAATACCCACAATCGTACGCTCAGCAATATCAAGCGCCCATAGAAGAGAACGGAGAAGATATCGTAAATGAGCTCCTTGCTCGATGGACGACTCTGGAAAATCTGGTGGAAGGGTCTCATCAGAGACCTGACTATAGGTTAAAAGACGACAAATACGCGAGGTATAGTCGTCGATAATAAGCGCTGAGTATATATATATAGTCTAGTAGGATATTCTCTTTCCAGACTCCTACACCGGAGAATCCTATCTTCTCTTTTGACATGCAAGAAATTCTGAATTTATCATATGATGATGATGATTCGAACAGCGAAGACAGCCTACTGCTTGTCTTTTCTAGCCTGAGTGCAGATATCCCTGGTAGTGAGTAAAGGACTGGATCAAGAACAGCCATGCTGTAGCTATTACAAACCTTAGTTGCAGTACATAACAGCCGATCCTTCGCCACTACACCCCCATGTAGAGGAGAGACTCCATAAAAAGCAAGTGATTTCACTGGCCACTATAATTCAAGTTGACTGTCCTTCTAAGGTTTTATAAGCAGTCTAGCATGACTAACCTCATCCCACCATGTCTCCACATCATCCAACTTCTTTGCTGCATACTCAGATTTGAAACCTCCCTTGACAATCGCCTCCAGTATGCGCGGTGTCTGAGCATGTAACTCAGGAAACGACCAAGCACCTGGCGCACAACCCAGCAACGCTACATTTGCCTGCCGAAGGAGACTGGCAGGAACAGCCTGTGTCTCTCCCGCCAAAGACCCAATTTCCACCCAGCTGAGCCTCTGGTTGGGAACCTCGCGTCCCTTGATGATGCCAGCCATGGCTGCATTCGACACATCGCCCCACAAGTAATCCAAGACAATATCCACGTCCGTAGCAACAGAGAAATCCGTTCGCGCTAGATCCTCGGACAGTGGTATCGTTGCCGTCGCCCCAAGCTCTTTTGTTTTGTCCAGCTTTGCACCTGGTTTGCCAATTGCTACAATCTTCGAGGCACCAAAGGCTTTGCTGATTTGTACGGCGGCTTGTCCACTCACGCCTGTTGCACCTACGATAACTATCTTAACCCCACTACCAGGTTGAATACCCGCACGCGCCGTCAACGCCATCCAACCGCTCATCGCAGGATTTACAAGCACGGCCACAGTATCTGCATCCGCACCCTCAGGCAGCGGGTAAATGTCTTTCTTGCCAACATTGATCTCCTGGGCTATGGAGCCGGTGGATGCGAGCAACGCGTTGAAGTAGACAAGCTGGTTGGTCTCGACGACAACGCCCACACCATCCGTGCCGGGAACATGTGGCGGGCTCTTGCCAGCCATGGAGAAATGTTTGCCTGAAGCGCGGGATCGCACGAATGTGTGGACACCAGCAGCGAGGACTTTGATGCGAACTTGGGTGTCCGACGGGGTGGGGAGATCGATGAGGGAGTAGGTAGGGGATGATCCCCACTTGTGGACTACGGCTGCGTGGATAGACATACTGTGTATCGAGATCGGTAAAAAGGTTGGCAGATGATGAGTCTTTCACCCAGGAGCCTTCACTTGGTGTGTTGAGCGATGTCAATGTCGGATGCTGATACCTTGTCGCACCAGAAAGGATCTTGGGGATAGGTCAAGAAGAATCCAATAATGATGTAGATGACTGAAATGGAGTGAATTGATCCGGGATTGGGTGCCAGATACTCGAGCTTTTATACACTATGGCGCATACACTAAAGCGCGTAACGATTACACACGAAGGATCTAGCGAATGCGAATTCATGCAGAAAACTAAGACTAGACACCTGGTAGCGAAGGCGGAATCCCTGGCCTGTAGCGTGCTTCTAATCTGCCTGCAGATGCTTACCAGTCAACACTCGGACTCTAATATGCAGCTGACAACATCTACCTGTCGTCAGCAATCAGGTCCCCCCAACAACAACCGTACTCGATGATTTAATCGATTCTACGCCCTGCTTCACTTGAATCCTTCCAAAGATAATAACCCTCTCCTCCACTTAGCATATGTGAGCAATGGTTTGCATCGCGAATGTAACCACTCCAGACCCTTTTACACAGAAGCCTCGGTACTGGCACGGTGACTGCCAAAAGGACGACGCAAGCAATGATAATAAGCGGTGGCAATGCACAGCAAGCGGCTACAACCCGACTACGAACGTCAAACGGCATCAACGTAGTTTTCTATGGATGCCATGCTGCATGTAAGAGTCTTTTGTCTAGACGCAAATTATCGTTTCACGAACAACATTACAAAATTTGGAATCTATCGCATACGGTCTGAGCAAGGATACGAGGAGTCGTCTACGCCAATCTACTCAAAACCCATGACCAGGCACTGCTATCGTGAGCAAGCTTCTCTAGAAAACAGAAAGCCTTCAGGTATCAACTCGGTTGTCAAATGTTCTCCTCATGCGCAGTCATGATATCGTTCTTCTTCTCCGAGATCGAGGCCACGCTCGATGCCCTTGCAGTCGTCTCCTCAGACGGAGATGCTGTATCATCGCCATCGAATATGACTGCCATGTGCTCCAGAGTGTACCCACGGGTTTCTGGGTAGAAGAAATACACTGTCAATCCCATTGCGACAAGCACAACGATGAACACAAAGTAGTACTTCCAGCCGATTGCCTCGAGAGCGATAGGGTTTACAAAGGTGTTGAAGAAGTTGGCGACTACTACTGTGATCCAGGTGACGGTCAGACCGTGAGATCGGAGCCTATATGGCCAGATCTCGCAAGGATAGGCTGTCAGGAATGGCGTCCTGTGTTATGCCAGTCAGCACAGTGGTCTATCGAAAGAGATTCAAGTGAAACTTACAGAGCAATATCATAGCCAGCAAAAAATATGAAGAGAAAGGGTATGACAGCGATACCAGTGGGAGGGCTGCCAGATTCTGCGAATGCACCGCTGAGAGCTGTCACAAGTATGTATGCGACAAGCATAACGCCAGCTGAGGCTAAGAAGAGTGGGCGACGTCCGAGTCGGTCGACACTAAGTGCAGCGCCTACTGAGAAGAGAAGATTCCACACTTGCAGCAGACCAGCAATCAATGTCTGGTGGGTGACACTGGTTATGCCTACAGTTCTCAGGACAATCGCCAGGTAGTACGAAACAACACCGTTGCCGCACCACTGGGAGAAGATACCGAGAGACACCGATATGAACAGGCGTCGCCGGTTACCTGCTGTCTTGAACAGCTCTATGTAGCTTGCATCGTCCAGTGTTGACTCGAGACGGATGGCAGTGGTAATTTCGGCCATCTCATACTCGACTAAAGCCGATATGGGATCTCCGCCAGCATGGTATGTTGTCAAAATTGTACGAGCCTGTAATCGATCATTAGAGCGGTCTGATGATGGCGTCTAGTGACTTACCTGTTCACTTCTATCAACAGACACAAGCCAGCGAGGGCTCTCAGGCGTCATCAGTAGTCCAGGCAGTGCGACGAGGGGCAGCAGCAACTGCAAGATAGATGGAATCCGCCACGCCCAGTCACTTTCGATATTACGGGTGCCAAAGGTAACAAAGGCAGCAATAGTGCCGCCTACATAGTACCCGCACATGAAGAGAGCGCTCAGGATGCCTCTGTAGACCGGATGAGAGATTTCGTTGATGAGGAGAGGAACAGCGTTTCCAAACCAAGCTGAAGAGCAACCAACAAAGAATCGAGATAGCACGAATGCAGTGTCGTCATCGCTTAACACGACCAGGGAGCCTAAGAACAGAAAGATGTAGCCAATGTACACACCGAGCTTGCGCCCGTACTTGTTGGCAACGAACGCAGTCAAGGGGTAGGACAGACCCATCCCAAGCCAATAGACGGCATTCAAGAAGCCCAACCAAGCACCAGTCGGCGTGTCCATGAACGACTCCCATTGAGGTAATGCCTGTAGTCCGTTCATGAGACTTCCGTCATAGCCGTTGGCAGAGGCTGGATGTGTGTTAGTGGTACCAAAGGATAGGGGACCTTGGAGTTACTTACAGAACAACGAGAGGGACAAGATGCAGAAGTGCAACTTGATAAGATGTAGTTTTGTGTACCATGGCTTGCTGTCAGGCAAGACAGCCGACAAGCCATCGTTGAGTCCAATCTGCGACTTGGATGCAGTCATGACAACGTAAAAGGGGCTAGTGATGCTCTGAGGGCTAGGCTAGAGAACGTGATGCTGGTCAGTCAATCGCTCATGCAGCTCGACCTTTTATATAAATCTCAGATGAACAAGGCCAGGTCAAGAACATCACGATACAGCGTGTCGGTTAGCTATCGTGACCCCTAAGCTATTGTCGGAAGCGTGGCTGCGCACGTGGAGTCCCCCCAAAATTTGGAAACACGCTAATTTGCGGAGGGGCTCGGTTTTTGCGGAGTAGCGCATCGGTGAAAAATAGAGTTCCTCATAGCGCGTGCTTTCCGACTGGACTGACACGGAGAAATAGGAATCGTCATTTGCCCGATAGCCTCCGCGCGCCAAGCGCGACCTCCGACCGACCCGCTGCTGCTAAAGCAGACATCAGGGCTATACCCCATAAGCCGCGCCAGATATGCGCCAACAGCTATGTGTTTGGTCGGACTATGTCGTGGCTGTTGAAAGACATCTATATACCGCGGCCTTGTCGTGGTTGCGGGTGTCAGCCAGTCCACCCCTTCCAACTATCGCACCTCCAGCGCCATGACGCTTTCCAATGACGAGAACACAAGTCAAGAGCATGCGGCTTCGTTCGCGCCGTTTGACGTCGAAGAAGCGCTCCTCCAGCTGACTATTGACGAAAAGGTATCGCTTCTCTCAGGTAGGTCGTGTGTGAAACTCCAAGTGCATCGCTCATAACAACAGGCAAGGATTTCTGGCACACGCGCGACATACCCAGGCTGTCGATTCCTTCCATTCGACTATCAGATGGTCCCAACGGTATCCGAGGTACCAAATTCTTTGACAGCGTACCTTCTGCATGCCTTCCATGTGGCACAGCCATCGGCGCTACGTTCGACTCCGATCTGGTCGTCGAGATTGGCCATCTACTCGGCGATGAGGCTCGAGCAAAAGGAGCGCACATCATTCTCGGTCCAACGATAAACATCCAGCGAGGACCGTTGGGCGGTAGAGGATTCGAGTCTTACTCCGAGGATCCTTACCTATCCGGCAAGCTTGCAGCAAGCTACATCAATGGGCTCAAGGATAAACATATAGGCGCTGCTATCAAGCATCTTGTTTGTAACGATCAGGAACATGAACGTATGGCAGTCAATACCATCGTTACTCAACGTGCGCTGAGAGAAATCTATCTCCTTCCGTTCATGCTCGCGACGCGGCTCAGCAACCCAGAAGCGATCATGACTGCCTACAACAGAGTCAACGGCGAACACGTCGCGGAAGACCGAAGCATTCTGAAAGACATACTCAGGAACGAATGGCGGTGGGACGGACTCTTCGTGAGCGACTGGTAAGACTGCCTTATCTCTTCCGTATACTCGTTGCGCGGTTCTGACAGCTCTCAGGTTTGGCACATACAGCACAAGCGAAGCAATAAACGCCGGTCTCGACCTAGAGATGCCCGGCCCATCACGATGGCGAGGACCGGCGCTCGTCCACGCGGTCTCGGCCAATAAGGTCCTTCCTTCTGAGCTCGACGAGCGAGTGCGTACGGTCCTCAAGCTCGTCAAAAAGTCTGCACAGTCGGGTATCCCCGAGAATGCACCAGAGACCCAGTTGAATCGACCAGCAGATCGACATCTTCTTCGGAAGGTAGCCGCAGACTCAATCGTGCTCCTTAAGAATCAGGATAATATCCTTCCATTCTCCTGCGATCGCAAGATTGCGGTCATCGGCCCCAACGCCAAGATCGCTACCTATTGCGGCGGCGGTAGCGCCTCACTAAATGCATACTACACAACCACACCATTGGACGGTATTCGATCGCTTGCGAAGGGCGGTGTGGATTTTGCACAAGGCGCACATGCTTTTCAGATGTTGCCTGAACTCGGCAAAGAGCTCACCGTGGACGGGAAACCCGGTTTCAAGCTGCGCTTCTTCAATAATCCGCCAACAAACGTGGAGAGGACCCCACTTGAGGAACGGATATTGACCGACTCCAACATCTTCTTCCTGGATTATGATCATCCGAATCTCAAAGAGATTTGGTACGCTGAGACTGAAGGTGTCTTTGCTCCAACTCAATCGGGCACCTATGACTTCGGTCTGTGCGTGCATGGCACTGGAAGACTGTACATTGATGACGAGCTTCTCGTCAGCAATGTCGAGCATCAGAGGCCTGGACCTAGCTTTTTAGGATCTGGAACTCTTGAAGAGACTGGATCAAAGACTCTCATTGCGGGAAGATCGTATCGAATTACCGTGCAATGGGGCTGCGCAAAGACAAGCACGAGGAAAACACCTGGCACGGTGGACTTTGGTCATGGCGGTTTGCGTTTCGGTGGCTGTTTACGCCAGGACCCACAGGAGCTGATTGATACTGCGGTACGTCTCGCGTGCGAGGTCGATCAGGTGGTCGTTTGTGTCGGTCTGGGTCCTGAATGGGAGTCTGAGGGCGATGATCGCGCTTCAATGGATCTTCCGCCGAATACAGATACGCTTGTGGAACGAGTCCTCGAAGCTAACCCCAATGCGGCTATCGTGGTTCAGTCCGGTACACCTGTTGCGATGCCCTGGAGTGACAAAGCAAAGGCGATTTTGCATGCGTGGTATGGTGGCAATGAAGGTGTCAACGGTATTGCGGACGTCCTCTTCGGCGCTGTGAACCCCTCAGGAAAGCTTCCTCTGACTTTCCCCCGCCGATTGAAGGACAACCCGACGTATCTCAACTATCGCTCCGAAGGTGGCCGCGTGCTGTATGGCGAGGATGTTTACGTGGGCTACCGTTTCTACGAGCAGACCGAAGTGGCACCATTGTTCCCATTTGGCCACGGCCTGTCCTACACGACCTTCACCCTGTCCAATCTCAAGCTTGACATGAACACGCAGACTGACCGGCTAAGCGTGCGCTGCACTGTGAGCAACACGGGCTCCAGAGCTGGCGCTGAGGTCGTGCAGGTTTACATTGAGCCGATCTCTCCACCTATTCGTCGGCCGTTGAAGGAATTGAAGGGCTTTGCGAAGCGCCACATTGAAGCGGGCCAGAGCGCCGAAGTGGTTGTCGAGATCGACGTTCTTCGGGACACAAGCTTCTGGGAGGAGAAGGAAGGGAGATGGTGTAGTCATGCTGGGATGTACAACGTCCTTGTTGGGACAAGTAGCGCTGGCTGTCATCTATCGGGCTCGATCGTGTCGCCCAAAGCTAGGTACTGGCTATCGTAAATCAATGTAAAAGATTGTCGTGCAAGTAATGTCATTGCTGCTCTCGTCGGTGCTGATCCATTCTTCGAGGTGGTTAACAGTAACCCAGGTATCGTCGCAGCCGAGAGCGATTATTGGCATTTCTGAACGAGCAAAACGTTCCTTTGTTGATTATCTCCGTAATTCCCTGTCGACTTATAGTGTTAACGACATGACGCAAATTTGAGATGCAGCACTCCGGCCATGAACGAGGACCTAAGTGCCGAGGACACGTCTGGCGCTTGTTTGGGGCCTTGGCGAACGCGCCCCAGCCCAGCGCGATCCGCATCATCAAACGCGCATGGTTCTCATGTCTTCACCGCTCAACAGTACGGTCAATCCGCAAATTACTCGACCACCGCGCGCGTGCGATGCATGTCGGACCAGGAAAACGCGTTGTGACCTGGGTGTAGACGTAAACGTACCAAATCCAGTATGTGTGCGCTGCCGGCGTCTCCAGCTGCAATGCACTTTCGAGCTGGCGGTCGGTAGGAGGGGCCCAAAACGGTAGGTTGACATTCGATCAAGTTCTCAGATATGGTTGCTCTGCGGTGGAGTCATTCTGGTTTTGATACATTTCTGCACGGTTGCCAAAGACTTGTCAATCGCAACCGTTCACTGCCTCTTTGAGGCTGTGAGAAACTTGAGCAAGGTGGACAGAGAAACTCACATCACAGCTAACAGTCACGTTATAGAAAGCGGATGCAAAATGAGATTACCAGGAGCGAGCATTCTGCCGCACCTGTTCCGAGTCCTACTTCGTTCATCGCTGTCCAGCAAGGCGCATTTCGCACTGACACCGTTTGTTCGCGAGCGCTTTTACGAGTTTTGATGGACGACTATCTTCTGTACATCTACCCATTAATCCCTGTGGTTCACCGACCATCGTTCTGCCTCGCTCTGAACGAGAATCGTGATAACTACGACGACGACTTCTTAGGCCTTCTCATCGCTCTATGCGCAATCGTAGTTGCGTTGCTTCCAAGTAAATATGAGAGCTATCGTAGGCTCGACTTGTCCATGGCTCTCTCACGTGCCGTGATGCTCGATCGCTGTCACAGCTTCCTCATCGCTTTGCGTACGCCAGACTTTTTCGAGAAAATCGGCTTCAGCAAATGGGCAGCATCGTATCTGATGGCTATCGCCTTTTTCCAGGTTGGAAAGCCTAATCACGCTCGTATGATTGAGGTGGAGAGCATGCAACTCGGGCGACTACTTGAACTTCACCGCGTTGATAGATATGAGGAATTGGACTGTATCGAGAAACAGCTGCGGAGAAAGGGCTTTTGGCTTCTTTTTTACGGTTACGTACATTCAGAGGTACAGAATTTTCGTAAAGAGAAGCTCTCTTTCTTGGATCATGCTACCATGGCAACGACGAACCTCAAGGCACTCATGCCTGTCGAAGTCGAAGACGAGCATATCTTCAAGCATGAGACGATCTCTTCGCCTACATCGGATGTGAGCATGACTATAGGCTTCATCATCCACTCTCGCCTGTTTTGGCAAGCTATTCAGGATTCAAGCGGCAATGAAAGGGGCGAATGCTTGTGCTGTCGCGAACACTCACCCGCAGCGCAAGTGGCGCATCTTGAACGCCGCTTGCAAGATCTGAAATATGCCTTGGACGACGCCCCCAGGCTCTTTCGACAATACGCATTGTCCGATTTCGACTCCGCCTCACATAGCCTCTCATCCTCTCAACTGGGCACTCTGCGCGCTAATATTCATGTTACGCACCTCTGGCTTCAAAGCATGTTACTGGACCAGTTGGATCTACTGACTTCGCCTGAGCAGCACTGGCACGAGCGCGAGGACATATCCACTCAGCTCCTCCACGTACTTCACAATACCCCTCAAGCAGATATTGAGCCAAATGGTCTCCACCTCGTGTACAAGGTGCGCGATGTGGCAGTCGGACTACTCGCGTGCCCGTACGAACTACCCGGTCCTTCGGCAAAACGAGCCCAGGAGTATGTCAAGGCGTTTACTGACATCATGGCTCGCCTGGATGCAAGCGAGACAATCAACACAGCTAATCTTCAAAGTTGGATTGATACTGGACGTCAGGGTGTTTGACAATGTAGTCGCCGAAATTACCAAGCTTCTTTAGAAGAAGTTGATCGACAGTTCAATAAGCACAGAAGGGAAGGCCAAATCAGAGGTGTCGACAAAGTCAGTATACAATTCATCTACTACTTTCACCAGATATTTGGTTTTATGAACTTCTCTAGCGTATAGTCCCCAAAGAGTAGCAATGCGCATTAGCGCCTACCTACCCACGCATAGCCATGCAGAAAACCAGTCGGTATCAGAGCATATACCTACCAGTCAACACTCGGACCTAGCAATTATGCCCCCCTCTTCCCTCCTTCCTCCTCCCAAATCACACTCGATCATCTGCAAATTCATCATGGGAAATTATCTTCGTGAACTTCTGAACAGCATTTGTTAAAGTCGTCATATTACCAGGGGTTGAAGTAGTGCTGGTAAGCTCATATAACTATTTGACGTACATTGTAAGGTAACATAGTGCCTCTCGCAAGACATACAGAGCTATTACTAAAGTACTTTAGCATTATTTCAAGACAATCCGTAGGAGGTGCTATTTTCGAGGTGCTAGGTACGTGTAAATAAGTAGTATATATCTCACGAATGATTATCAAATGTACAACCCTTTTCATAATAATCCCCTAGTGATATCCTTCAATCTTAGAAAAGTCTCAGCTCATTCTCTAGAACATATCCCATGCCTCCCTCGGTCTGAGTCCCATACTAACTAAAAAACGGGCCTCGATCTGATGCTCTAGCATCATATAAGTTGCCACATCGCAAGGCCCCCCCCCCCCCCCCCCCCCCCCACCCCCCCCCCCCCCCCCCCCCCCCCCCCCCCCCCCCCCACCTCCCCCCCCCCCCCCCCCCCCCGCCCCCCCCCCCCCCCCCCCCCCCCCCCCCCCCCCACACCACAGCACCCACTACAACACCAGCAC